CGGCCTCGGGCATTCGGCCAGTCTGTGCCGTCGCGTCGTCTTGTCACGTCGTCTGTCACTGGCAGATATTTTCGCGCCAACGCGAGTGTACGAATCTGTGCAAGGAATTAGGCCAAACAATGGATATCGAAATTATACTTCTCGGAATGCAAACACATGGATTGTAAATTTGCTCTGTAGAAATTAATTTGAAGGTAATTTTTGAAGCGACTTCTATTGCAAAAATAAATAAATATTTTCTTATTAAAAAATACAGTTTACTTTTTCTAAAGACTTACCATATAAAATAAATCATAAATTAAAATGATTAGGTACGTTAGTTTATTGTATTATAAAAAACTTAATTTCAAATTAAAAACGTAAAAAAGTTAACGCCTTTAAAACTTATAAACAAACGACTGGCAACTTTTTACTTTAATTTGAGGCAAATGGATAAACTTTAATCTGAGTTACCCTTAATGTTCCTAATAGTGATAAAGATTGTTAGTAGATCCCAAATCAAGTTAACGTCAACCCTTGTCCACAAAGTTTATAAATAAATTAGTTCCCACTATTCTCACATAATTATTTTTATATGTACCACAGCGACCTATTTTTTATATAATAACAGATAAATATAATTTCAAAGATAATTTCACACGCTTCATTATCTTTGAACGGGTTATAAAGATTGTGATCACAATGTTGACAAATGATTTATCGTGCTAATCGTAAAGAATCTAACATTTTAATTTCACTGACGGATGTAAAACATACACATTACATACATACCCATGTATATGTATATTAACTGTCGCCAGTGACACCGTCTGCACGGCATTAAATAAATCAGAATATGTTCTAAATCTGTGTCAAATTTCGGTGAGATTCTTTCAGCCGTTATGGAGATACATGGCAACAAATACATCCATACATTTAAACTTTCATGTTTATTATACTAGTAAGACTAATAAGATGTATGTAGTATTTTATCAATTTTAAACATCAAACACCCTTTGTTCTTGTAAAAAGCTATTGTATTTTAAGAAAATAACTTGAAGTTAGAAGATGAGAAATTTGTCAGTTGTTATTTATCTTCCGTCTCACAATGAAACACCCCTTGCTCAAAACTTACGACTTGCCACTTCTATTGATTGAGGGACTTTGCCTCAGGCGTCGACCCTACGGGGTATTATTTAAGATTATTTTACAAATTGAAAAACGATGTCATCTAACATATTTTGTCGACAAATTCCTTCTCACTTTTAAAGATTCGAGAAAGTTATAGAAATATTGCTAGATATTATATCACGGATTTCTAATGTTGAAGACTATAGTTCTTTTTATGTTACTGTCCAAAGTTTTTAGCTTATGCAATTTCTAACCTCGTTATTCAGAGTCACGCTTAGTTTCTATTTCAGCATCCATATATTTATGCTAAAAAGTGCCTAAGTATAAACAATTTAAGCGTCACATTTTACCATAAACTTATCTAAATCCAGTAACTAAACAGTTTTAGACTGTATTATTGGAATCTTTCAAATAAAAATAAAATTATAGTAAAACATCTTTGTAATCAAATAAACAAACACCACAAGTTTATATAAGTAAAAAAATAGTAAGAGCAATATTATTTTTTCAAGTCAACATTATTGCAACGAGGGCGTTTTATTTTTCTGTCTGTTATATCTCATCGTGAAGCGACGTAATTGAAAGTCTGTTACTTGCTGGGAGGAGCATTATTTTCCATCACTAATCAGTACTGGGCGTTGTTCGAAAGATGAAAAAACGAAATATTAATACTTGAATATTATTAACATAAAGTGATAGTTTTTTTTTAATATTATATCTACTTTATCCGAGTATTATAGGCTATTGAAATTCACCAGAGCGAGGTCCTTTTGAATAATAGATACGTGGATTAATAAGTTTTCTTTATAAGCATCATTAAAACGTTATATTGAAGCGGACAAACTGGGATGCTTCAGCTTTAGAAATCCGAACTTATCGAACTAACAATGAGATTTTATCATCATTATCTAGTATAGTGGATCGATAGATATATTTTAGTGTATACTGAATAACCTTGGGACTATAACACGTAATTTTACGCGTTTTATATTACTAGATTTCGCCCGCGACTCCGTCCGCGCGGAACTAAAAAAACAAATTCAATACCTATGTGTTATTACAGACTATCCTCTATATGCCAATTTTTATAGAAATCCGTTCAGACGTTTACAAACTCTAACAAACATCCATCCATTCACAACTTTCGCATTTAGAATATTAGTATGATGTGAATTTACATTTAATCTTAACTCCTTTTGAAGATAACGTGGCTCATAATATAGGAGATTTAGTTAGGTTAAATAAATAATAGTAATCTTCTATTTATTCACATTACAGAAGTGTACAGAAAGTGTGAGTGACATATCAAAAGTGTTAAATTAATAGCAGTGAGAGTGTTGAGTGAAGTGATATCCGGCGTGTCCTGATGGCCGGAACCGCCCGGCCGCGCTAGATCGATCCCGCGACACCGGCGGGGCTCACGTCGGTAAGTGCATCCGACGTAATATAGATAGGTCAGCGCATCTTGGCGCGTTCACTACTCGTAATTAGTACAATTATGTCACCGTTAAGTTAAGCGACAGCTTTACTATTAGCAATGTATTTTTTTTATAATTGTTTGTATTAATATGCATTCGACAAAAATGGTGAACTAATTTAAGTACCTTTTGTTTTGCCTTGGTATGGCATTTAATAATATTAAGATAGAAAAATCCAGCAAACTTCTAGGATTGAACATGAGTTAAATTGAATTCTAAAATATGTTTATCAAACAAGAAATTAAGCTTTTTAGGTTTGATATGACTTAAACGTCATATTGTTAATAGTTCCGTCAATTTGTAATATCGCTTTTAAGCCTAGTTAGCAAGATAAGCGGCGTGTATCTGACATGTTGATCTACTGTCTACCGACTGCTACTAACAAGTATATTTTAAGCAGACGTTTACGGACCAAAATTATTTGAACTAACTGTACAACATATTATTTTATATGTATAGATTTATAACATTGGTCTAGACATGAGGGAGTCTTTATTGCTACGTTAAGTAAGGATTGTCATTTGTTGTGTCTGTGAGAGCAACCGGTGGCTGTCTACATTCCTAAAAAGCTTTATATAAATACAAGAAATCAGAACACTTTTAAAAATCAGCTAAAATTATGTTGTATTCGACATGTCATTTGAACAGGTCCAATCTGGTGATTACTTTGTCTCTATTACTTTTAATAAATCGTCGTTCATTTATTTTATTTCTGAGGATAGTTGAGAACCGTATTCGTAGATCATATGTTTGTTCAGCAGTATTTAAATAATATCTTTATCTTTTATGGTTATTCCAGTGACAGGTGTAATTATCTTTTATCTAAACGTGACGAGTCTAAGTTGTGCTGGTATTTTGTATTTTATAATCTTAGATAGCAGATAGTAAATATCCATTTCTATATAAGATAACAACATCTTATTTTATGTTATTCTACAGAGTTTATGTGTCTGAATTCAGTATCCTAACCAAAATGTTTCAGAAATTATTTTGAATCTTTGAACCTGTCTCTAATATCAAACGAATCTTAAGCAATCGATAAACTAGAGCTGGCTGTTATTATATTGGCACTTGCTTTCGCCCGCAACTCCGTCCGCGTGAAATTAAATAAAAACAAAAGTAAGTAGCCTATGTGTTCTTCCAAACGGTCCTTTACAACTATGCCAAATTTCATCGAGATCCGGTCAGTCGTTTAGGCGACAAACTCTAACAAACATCCAGCCATCCATCCATCCATCTATACTTTCGCATTTATAATATTAGTTAGATTGACATTATATAGTCAAACAGAACGTTTAGTTTGTTTTAATAAGTCTGGCCTTAAGTGTTGATGCTACAAATTCTCGTGTCAGTTCTTCAGTTCAGCAAACAATAATTAGTCTGTATAGTTAATAAATTAAGTTTCGGCAAACAAGCAAACTTCGACGGTCGAATGCGGGCCTAGAATAAATAGATTAAACGGTTTCTTTTATGTATATCTGTTCTGTTTTCGTCTAATCAACGTCTTTAATTTATTAAAAAATATGTGTAGCGTGTTTAGCCGAGCGCAGATGCGGTTGCCGAATGCCGCCGACGTAAAAATACTTTCACCGAAATACCGCAATCATAAACCAGCGTGCTCCGCGGCTAATATTTATTTACACTATACTAGTAGTATACGTTGCATAGATATATTTAAGAAGAATAGCTATATCATTCTTTTATACGAGTTCCAAGAGACTATTGAATCACAGTGACGGATCCATCTTAAGAGATTCCAAACATTTACATACGAAGGCGTGTAAGTCACATAATGTCTGCGATGCAAACATGACTACAATTTAGTTCATCAGGTTTAAAAACGTGTGAGAATTTTTATAGTTATATTTTATATAGACTTGACAGGAGATACTTCTACATTAACATACGAAACAATTGTTTCATTCTAAGTGCGTGCTTTAGATAAGTAAATACTTCAGAGTTTACAATTCACCCACTGTTGCAAGAATCGCGAAAGTTTTATTTAAGCATAAACATTGTTGTTTCAAAATGAAATAATATTTACCTAAAAGAACACCGACTCGATTTGATTGTCGTGGGTGGTGAGTTGTAGTTACACATATACTCGTATACTTCGTAGAGTTCAAACTGCGTTCATTTTGTTTATTAATTAATATTTATTAACTTTGCTATTGAGGACTTTAAGTTCTTACCAGGAATTTTAGCTCTCGAATCTCTTGTTGAACGTGCGGAAGTAACTGACACATTACACCATGATCTTTTGAGGACATTACTTAAATAATTGGGCAATTTACAATGAGAGTGCGGGATGACAACATTATTGTGCAAATGTTACAGCAGTGGAAACGCACAGCAAGAATAGACACTAAATATGCGTTCACACATGTCCAGGAGTGCTAAATCCGCGGCATACGCTACGTCTGTTATCAAAGCGTACCGTAAATTATTATCTTTGTGCGTAAATGTTTGGGGAACGTCAGCGCCCATATCTATATTTCAGTTGGAACTGGCATTTATTTAGGCAGCCTGTTTTTTTATCTAAATAAATTGTTAACTTTTCTTATTATTTCCAGCCAATTCGAAATGAAGAATAAATTGATTTACATTACGAATGGAAACCCTTTTCTGATGAAGGTCAATAAATACTCAGGAAGCTTTGATAATTATAACGTAGCTAAGTATTAAGACGTATGTGTTATATTATTCTAAGGATATATTTAATAGGAGAAGGGTAAGACAGAGCTAAATGATCACCGTTGACATCTGAGTAAGAATTTATGGTAGGTTTCCGAATGTAAACATTTATTCTAGAATTAGTTCGCTCTATTTCAACACACTTTTATATAGTCCCGTATACACTTTTAAGTTTTGTAACATAAATGCTATGAATAGAATCTATCACAATCTTTTTAATTACATGAAGTAATTTAAACGCACCAACAAACCAGAATGTTTTTACGTGTAACCTTTAGTTTCAACAGACACAGCGTCGATTTATATCACTCGAAGATTTACAATCACATAAAAAACTCGAAACGCCTTTTTTCTAACCAATGTTGAATACAGTTAAACATAATATGGTCCAGTCATTTAAGAATGTTAAAAGCATGAATGAAACAAAACTGTGTTTTACTGCTGCGATATTAAAAAAAATGCAATATGATATTCCAATTTTTTCTTTTTAAAGTTGGTTTTTAACAGTTGTAAATTACATTTTTCAAGCTTTTCATGTTGTGATCGAATTTTTTTCTAAGTATCGTATAGAGTAATTTAAAAATATCTCAACAAAGATTATCGTCGTGAACGTAATAATTACTTGAAACCAAAGCATTTTAATGTTGCGTAATTTGTATCACAGTTCACAGTTTAGTTATTTAACACCTTACTGTTAAATACAACAAAATTATGAGATAAATTGTAACAGGAAGCGTTATTAGCGGTAACTGATTTTCTAATTAAGTGGTGTAAATATATGAAGCTATTATCCTGATATTAGATTACTAGATTTGGAGAGAACAGAGTGGTGAATATGAACATAAGGAGAAAGCATATGAAGAATGTAATAATAAATAGGGTAATGGCTTTTCACTCCTTAAACATGCAGATAGAAATATAAATATACTTACGTTTATATTCTTTGAAACTCTTTGTAAATGTATTATCTTGTCTGTTTAAACAAAAATTAAGAAGGCAGTGTTTGTCTTCATATCAATCTAGATCAGGGTTGTTTTTTAAATGATAAAAGTTTGTTACACTATCATTACTAATGTAAAACAATATAAGAGACACTAAATTAATAAATTGTATCGCAGCGCGAAGAGCAGAAGTAGGTGGGAAACTAATTGACAGTGGTAGAAGTAGAACCCGCTTTAACATCTTCGCACGAATGGGTCAGCTCGCCCGGTGTGATACCACGAACACATAGAAGACAGGCGTGAAGTGGGAGCAATTCCGCGTTTCGTCTGATGAGTGTGGTGCTGAAGGTCCAACTCTAGTCCCTTTTTCTTCCTACCCTTTTTCTCATAAGAATACGATGGAAAGGGAACGTGGATTTCACGGTGGAGGAGACGCATAGGAAGAGGACTCTCTTATATGAGTATATTAAAATAGACGCGAAACTTTGGCTGAAACAAATTAATTGAAAAGTGCATTTCAATAACATCGCAGTCACGAATAGAGACATAATGCTAAATTATATTATTAATGTTATTATGTTTAATGTTATTGATTAAGTAAGTATCAACCAAATCAAAAGTTTATACCAACCGCCCTTGACGTCTAAAATAGCAATCGTTTGCACAAAACTCGTGTCAATGATGCAAACAACGAATGGTTAATTATAAGCCTAGTTGTGGAATAAGGTGTTCACGTGGTCGTTTGTGCGTCATCATCATCAAGTGGCTACTGACTAATGCAGGCAAAATTTGCCCACACTTCCACACAAAATACGGTCGAACTAATTTCGTTGCATTAGAACGAACCGCCATGAATCTGAGAAATTTTAAATTTCTATCAAAAATAATGACCTAAATTCTTTGAATAGTTGAGTCGATAGAAACAATAAAAACACTAAAGAAAGTTCAGTGTGTTAAGATTATCGTTTTCATAGTTCTAACAAATGATTTGGAATTATTTTTTACAACGTAAGGGAAAGTTTTCCGAAGCATAAAGCATTCATATTGGACCAAATAAATTCGTTAGGAATGCAGAGTAAACGTACGTACTTGTATATAATCCTTTTATTCAGTTCTGGTTCAAAAGAGTAAATAAATCGAGTAAAGTTAACAGAATCCTTTTATGCGGTGAGTTTAAGTGCGGTTGGCGCTCGACTTGTATCGGAGGCAACTATGTCAATTGCTCTCTATGCCAGTAATCCTCCAGTAGGCGGGACAGCGGACTTGACAAATATTCCTACTAACACTATCAATTATTTTAAAGAGGTTTTTGA